CTGCCGTCTCTCAGGTGCGAACCTCCGGCGTGCCAGCAAGATCTTATTATACAGGATTTTTACCTAAAATTCTTACACTTGAATATATCCTTCCAATGTAAGTTTCTGATATTTTTTTATTTATTTATAAGGAAATATTATTAAAATGGTTACTTAATTTAAATCCTTCCAATGTCAGTTTCTGATACTTTTTGATTTAATTACAAGGAAATATTATTATTAAAATAGTTATTAATTTCCAAATTGAATTAGTAGTAGTTTGTATTCATAGAAGAGTATGACAGAGTTGTCGAATTGACAATAGTTTCGTAGACCAATAATGTTGTTCTAGACTTTTGAGGCCATTCGTGATAACAAGCTACATGACTCTTAGGATTCACGTGGCTTTCCTTCCTCTCTATTTTATATATTTTTTCTCTTCCGTCAATTATCTTCCGAATATCAAATGCGAACCAAAAAGTAACGAAGTGAAGTTCGTCGAAGGACTGCGAACTTGAATTTTCCAGAACAACGGTTCAGAAATTATCTTTAATCGAGAACCACTCTGCGATCCTTTAATTAGTATCGTGACGTACCACTAAGTGCCAGCCGCGTATTACCAAATACTAACACAAATTAACCTTAAATAATAAGTATTACTTTTATTTTAATTGTCCTAATGAGCTAGTTACTAAGGAATAAGTAATTATTCTGTTTCAATTAAACAGCTGTTGGGATCTAGTGGGTGTCGTGCGGAAACTGTTGCAAATCGCTGCCAGATAACCTAATTTTAGGAATGTTAAATTATCGCGAAGCATAAACCAACTGGAGATGTTCACACCCCGAAACTGTTCACTTATCATATGATCATCACTCGTAACCTACTACGAGTCACGCGTAGGTTATGAACTGCTGATCTTGACTTTGAAATAACACATCCAAATATTCAGTAATAGGTAAAAATTCAGCTCGAACAGCTCAAGTAGAACTATTCGAGCTAAGCTTAGGTGTTGCTAAGTATTAGATGTTGTGTGATGACGTGTTGCAATGATGTAATAATGACGTGTGTGTTGTATGTAATATGTAAATAATATGTAATAATGTAATAATGACGTGACGTGTTGCAATGATGTTGCAATAATAATTTATTTGTTTTTTTTTACTTATTCAGTATCGGCATTTGGCTGATTTGGTTGCCCGAGTCGCCGATGTTCCTGCTGCTGCAGCTCAAGAACAGCGAAGCCCTCGCCGTCCTACAGCGCATGTTTGCTGCCAACACCGGCAGACTTGCCAAGGACTATCCTGTGAGTGCCTTGACGCAGCGCATGTCTGCCAACACCGGCAGACTTGCCAAGGACTATCCTGTGAGTGCCTTGACGCAGCGCATGTCTGCCAACACCGGCAGACTTGCCAAGGACTATCCTGTGAGTGCCTTGACGCAGCGCATGTCTGCCAACACCGGCAGACTTGCCAAGGACTATCCTGTGAGTGCCTTGACGCAGCGCATGTCTGCCAACACCGGCAGACTTGCCAAGGACTATCCTGTGAGTGCCTTGACGCAGCGCATGTCTGCCAACACCGGCAGACTTGCCAAGGACTATCCTGTGAGTGCCTTGACGCAGCGCATGTCTGCCAACACCGGCAGACTTGCCAAGGACTATCCTGTGAGTGCCTTGACGCAGCGCATGTCTGCCAACACCGGCAGACTTGCCAAGGACTATCCTGTGAGTGCCTTGACGCAGCGCATGTCTGCCAACACCGGCAGACTTGCCAAGGACTATCCTGTGAGTGCCTTGACGCAGCGCATGTCTGCCAACACCGGCAGACTTGCCAAGGACTATCCTGTGAGTGCCTTGACGCAGCGCATGTCTGCCAACACCGGCAGACTTGCCAAGGACTATCCTGTGAGTGCCTTGACGCAGCGCATGTCTGCCAACACCGGCAGACTTGCCAAGGACTATCCTGTGAGTGCCTTGACGCAGCGCATGTCTGCCAACACCGGCAGACTTGCCAAGGACTATCCTGTGAGTGCCTTGACGCAGCGCATGTCTGCCAACACCGGCAGACTTGCCAAGGACTATCCTGTGAGTGCCTTGACGCAGCGCATGTCTGCCAACACCGGCAGACTTGCCAANGGTATATACAGGCTATATACTACAGGTATATACAGGCTATATACTATAGGTATATACAGGCTATATACTACAGGTATATACAGGCTATATACTACAGGCATATACACTATATATACAGGTATATACACTGTATATACAGGCTTGGAACAAAATTAGGTTTTGTTTGAGCTTGAGTTAGGTGCTGCTTTTCTATACATGTGTCGGCAGTGTGTATCTGTCGCTTCAAACATCTGCCACTTCACACATCTGCCACATCACACATCTGCCACTTCACACATCTGCCACATCACACATCTGCCACTTCACACATCTGCCACTTCATCCGTAGTTCTATTAACCTCAATAAAGTATTACCCTGATGGTTGAAGTTTCTATGCAATAAGCCCATTGAAGCACCAAGGAGCTTCACTAAGATAATTATTAGCAAGCAGTTCATGGAGTAAAGATCAGATGGCAGAGGATACAGTACATATTGCAGTGAAGCAGCTGTAGTACATATTGCAGTGAAGCAGCTGCAGTACATATTGCAGTGAAGCAGCTGTAGTACATATTGCAGTGAAGCAGCTCTAGCGAGACTAGGTCCCCCTTGAGTGACTTCTTATGAAGCCTCCACAGGAACACGACATAGAGCGTTACAGTGATCTTACGTAGAGAGAAAATAACCAATGTTTCCTAAGTCTCGATATCTNTACTTACGCTCTATTTTCTTGTCTATGATTGGTGGATTTGGCTTGAAAGGCCGTCAATGATTGGCTGATGAACTTACGATCTCTTACCTTTTTTTGAAAGTATAGGTCCTGCTGCCGTTCTCTCAAATAGTTAAGAGTTCTCAACTTCATTAGGTAAGCAGTGACTTCTTTTTCAAGCTAAACCCGATCAATCTTAGTCCAGAAATTGGCCGCTAAGTACGTATATGTAGGCCGCTAAGCACACTCAGGCTGCTACGGGACTTAGGCTGCTAAGTGTAATTTTAATTGTACCTTTTATTTAGTTTACTTATATCGCTTTTTTACTTAATCATAGTAGCATTAGTTTTTAAAGCCTTTTTACGATGTGGTTTCATAAGATTGCGGTGTGCGATGTCGTGGAGTTCTCAGGCTCGAGTAACGCCACAAGTCCCTGCGACAACCCTGACGGTCCCGTGGACACCCAAGCCCTCATCAACACCCTCATCACGAGCATCGCGCCCCTCCCCGCCAACATCTGGACCATCTACCACATGGACAAGCTCGGCAGAAAGTTCTTCCTAGGTCCTTACCTTAACTATTTGCCTTCCTATCCCCGTCAAAAGGAATATAATTTTTTCATCAATTCGCGCCAGAAATTATTTTTATTCGGACTACTGTGAGAAAAATTCCCATTTGTCTCTTCTACTCTGAAAAAAATTTTGAAATTGACTGAAAAAGTTAGTTTATAAGAGTTTCTTAGTTACATTAATTTGTTTTGATGTGTATTATAACAAAGGACGTTTGCCGAGACAGTTCTTAGCATGGTGCTATCGGGCTCGTCTGTGTTCGCGATCTACGGCGTGAAGTCGACAGCAGGAAACCTGGCGCTGAGTTGCGTCTTCGGGGCGGTCTCCACCATGGGCTACAACGCCCTCGACTGCCTCGGCACCGAGCTCTTCCCTACACAACTCAGGTGACACCTGCGACCATACGGTGAACTCACAGAAATGAGTCGGACTTTGTCTAAATAATGTGACAGTTTTGGCCAATGTTGTCTAAATAATAAGGCAGTTTTGGCCAATGTTGTCTAAATAATGAGGCCGTTTTGGCCAATGTTGTCTAAATAATGTGACAGTTTTGGCCAATGTTGTCTAAATAATGAGGCAGTTTTGGCCGATGTTGTCTAAATAATGAGGCCGTTTTAGCCGATGTTGTCTAAATAATGAGGCAGTTTTGGCCGATGTTGTCTCTGTCTCTTATACACATCTAGATGTGTATAAGAGACAGTCTCTGATGCAAATCCTGCCTGTGCCTCGTGTTTTTTCTGACCAACACGTGTGCACTTGTCATGAACATACCGCATAAACTTTTTAATGCCTTTCAGTACTCACGCAGAAGGATTGATTTTTTCTCACAAATAGTGTTAATATGGTTTAAAATGCAAAATTTATTACCTATTAGTCGTTTACATTCATAAAAGACACATGGTGAAATTATGCGAGTTTCCCTGGAGGCCTCGTTTTTTTTTAATTTTTTCTCGATATAACTCACTTGCGTAAGGTGCACTGTGGCTGTGAAATTTCCTCTGGAGTCTTGTATGGTGCATTGCCATTCAAGATATCATTTCACCGTAAAGGGTATACGGTAACCGTATGAATAACCCGGAAGCTTCGCGTTAATTTTNGCCTTAGCGATATATTCGTCGTATTTATACACTAACGAGGATGGGTAACGAACTATACCGTCATTGGCGAATACGAAGAGACTGGCTTCATTGAATTTATACCGGACGGAGTTGACTAACAAATGCTAAATTCTTCGTCTGCAGGTATACGATTATATTTTAATGGCCGCTACTAGTAAGTCATTCACTAATACTACTACTACTTCACCGCTACTAATAATTCATGCACAGGCTGTATATTGTGTAGAAAGCTATTATTGTTGAAGCAGTTATATAATAATGAGTTATACTGCTGTGGTTAGGTCTACGGCGCTGGCGGTGACGCTGCTGGCGGCGCGTGTGGGGGCCATCTGTGGTAACGTGGTCTTCGGGTACCTCGTGGACACGGTGTGTGTGGTACCCATGCTGATGGTGGCCTCGCTGCTCGTGGGTGAGTGTAGTGGTTTACGTTGAGGTCATCACTGTACGTTGTTTGTCACCACTAGTGGTGAAGTCAACACTGCACGTTGTTGATAGAGATGCTATCTCTTGTCCTGACCTCGTTGTCAGCTTTGCTAGGCGATATAACGGCGCCTAGGCTACAATATTGATAATTATTTTCCATTCTTCAAGGATAGAAAGGTATTTTTTTGATAGATTCTATCCTCGTGAGAGTTGATTTCAATCAAAGGCGTGGAGCAATAGAAAAAATAGATTTTTTAGAATATTCAGATTTCGTATTATATATGTTAAAATATGTTATATAAAATATGTATATACTTGTTAAAAACCGCGAGGTTAAATGAACCAACATTGGTTCTGGAATAAGCACTCGTTAACTGCTACTAGATGATCATCTCTGGAGTAATTATCTGCATTCTTGAATATATTGAAACATTTTAATTATATTCTTATTTCCTAGTCACGTTAACTTAATTTCCTCGACTTTAATAGTCAAGTCAAATTTTGACTAAGAATTCATTGTTTGATCCTGAGTCAAATAAGTTTTCGAATACTTTTGCCGGGGTTCATTCCTGTCAAGTATCTTCTTCAAAATTTTTTTTAAACTTATTGTCCAGGTTTCACTTTTGACAAGTGTTTTCCTCAACATTTTTTTTTAAACTTATTGTCCAGGTTTCACTTTTGACAAGTGTCTTCTTCAAATTTTTTTTTAACATTTTATATGTTCAACAGCGGGCGGCATAGCAAGTATATTCCTACCGAACACGACGCGCACAGCACTGCTTTAGTCACGTCTTGGACTACACTGCGCCTGCTGGAACTGGAATATAAGAATAACTGGACCATCCTTTGAATATAAACCAAACATTCCTAGAATAAAAGATTTACTTAATTTTATTGTCTAGAGCTCAATTTTAATCTATTGGAACTTGTGTATCGGTTTCATATGATTGTTATTTATTTTTATGTCGCCAATGACGATGAACGCTACGTCGGCGAGTCATTGGTGTCGTGTGGTGCTGATCATTGCAATGTTGCATGATGTTGCGAAGATACCTTGTTTGTTTTAACTGGCGACTTCTACGTACATCAAAGACTATTTGTAGAAAAATAGTGCTGATTGTAACAACCTTTCTCAGGGTTACTGAACTTGAGTACTCTTGGTTGAACCCCACTTTTCCATGCGAATTTGTTACTTTTGAAAAAAATGACCGCCTTAAAAGCTTGGGCCCAAGTGCTCTCTCAACTGTGCCCATTCCTTCACAAGTGGAATCTTCCGCTGTTGAAGAGCGACACAAATTGTAAGGGAAATATTGGTACAGATTTCCCTTCTGAACGTCATTGAATGATATCCTGTCATATTGTTTGGGATGCACGGAATTATTTATCGAGACGCTAGATCGGCTAAATTTAGGTGGCTAAATTACGTTTATTAATATCAACGTGATTTTTAATTTGGGGTCCACTTATTTGGAGTCCGATTGAAGTTTAAGAAGAAAATACACCGTGAAATAAGAATTTATAGGTTCTAAAGTTTCTTATTTTCGTATCGGGCATTTTATATCGCACGCAAGGACGCATGGTTTCTGTATGACGGTTGGCAGATATGTATATCAATTTAAACTGAAAATAAGACATATTCATGATGAAGCAGAAGTATAACTCGAACTTGATTCTGATTATCCAATTTTATTTTTGGGAAATACAACTTAAGCAATTTTTAAAGCATTTCTACGAATAACAAGACTACACAACATACAAAAGGTTACAAAGCAAAATGCGTACATACACACGTGAGAGCACTTCTAATCCATGAACACATTACTACATTATTTACAAATACACAACTGATAAGGCAACTCAGTCCAGGAACACGCCGCACGTGGCAAGCGTCCGCCGTGGATGGATGTTACTTCGCCACATGCTTGAACTAGTATAAGGTTGACCATGAGAAGCTCATTTTAGCGGATGTAGTTTGTTGTTCGCCTGTGACGTCACTGATCTCAGTGACGTCACATGCATTAACCAATCACCGAAATACGATCAAACCAGTCAACCAATCCGTCATGGGCATGACGGGATTGTTTACGTTTCTCGATCTCAGTGACGTAACAAGAAAGCTGAACTGAAAGACGGAAATCCTCGTGGGTCAACCTTAAATAGTTCAAACATGACTTCACCAGCAGGCCATCAACGGTTATAAGGCCCTATAACTCATTCTCCAACACCGGCCATTCATGGCTATATTTCATATCCGTTTGTCGACGTTAGCATAGAATGAACACCAGGGCCTATACTTTCAAAACTCGCTAAGTAAACGTAAGTACTGGCGCTCTATTTTCTTGTCTATGATTGGTGGATTTGGCTTGAAAAGCCGTCAATGATTGGCTGATGAACTTACGATCTCTTAACTTTTTTTGGAAGTATAGGCCCTGAAGTACAGATGCTGTGTTCAAAACACCCGACGAACTCTGAAGAAACAACAAATCGGCACAAATTCCAAGCAAGGCTATTGCTGTGCAACGTAAAATTACCGCAAGACGCGCTACAAAGTAAATAGACACACACAGGGACAATTATCCGGAGGCCAAAGTCGAAAAAGAGAAGAGATTCATTTAGCACAGTAACAGCATCTTTGTTAATTAATTAACAATTATCATTGTTGCTTATCAACTGTTATAGGTATAGGATTTGTTGCAATGGAGATGTCATTAGCAAGTAACAGATCTTACAATTTTATGAAACTCAAAGTCGAGCACCCAACGACGTATAAATACGTTATGTATAATAAAATATGTATATAATATGTTACGTATAAATATGTATAGATTGTATCCAGATGAAGTAATAGGCGTGTCAGGAAGCGAAGTTCTCGGCCAACGAGCAATAGTCCCATAGGCCTGCGAGCAGCGTCAGCAACAGCCCTGCCAGCAGCACTCACGACGTGTCGCACGGTTCGTCCTTGTCCAGACTCGCCACTTCACCGCCGTCCCTGACGCTTGGTAAACGCTCGTAGTCTGACGTGACCATCTGTGTGACTGTGACGTTCGGTAAACGTTCATAGTCTGACGTGACCATCTGCGTGACTGCGCTGCCGTCCTGTGCCGAGTTCGTCAGGCTGTTGTTTGTGCCCAGGGGCGCGTTGGTGCACATGGGGATGCTGGTGTTGGTGCACATAGGAGTTGGTTTAGTGCAGTGGTTGGGAGAGGACAAAGTAGTGGGAGGTGCAGGAGGAGGTTGAAGAGGAGCAGGAGGCTGGGGAGGACATAACACTCCCCTCATCATGAGGCTGCCCAGCATGAGCATGACAGTGCCTGATACTTCACCGTCCTCATCCAGCGTCCAGAGTCTGTCGCGCAGCTCTGGGCAAACTTGGATGAACTTCAGCAGCACTGAAACATCACATATAATGCGTTAATTAACGCGTTTTCAGTCAGGCTAAACGTTTCATACGGCATGAAAATATCAACCCTTGTCAGATTGCATAGGTACAAAGTTACCAAAAACGGCAAAACCTGGTACGAGTATAACGTTGTAAAATTATGCAGTCTGGAAACGGATAAGGCAACATTTGAGGTTATTTGAAATCCTTACATTTTATTCTAATCACTCAGATTTTTCCTCAAACATCATTTTCAGCTACTTCTCAGTCCCAACTTCAGTAGAGCTTTGATTACGAGATAGGGGGAAAGCTGCCATTCAATGAATACAAAGGTGCAGGAGGAGGTTGAAGAGGAGCAGGAGGCTGGGGAGGACATAACACTCCCCTCATCATGAGGCTGCCCAGCATGAGCATGACAGTGCCTGACACTTCGCCGTCTTCATCCAGCGTCCAGAGTCTGTCACGCAGCTCTGGGCAAACTTGGATGAACTTCAGCAGCACTGAAACATCACATATAATGCGTTAAAATAGCGCGTTTTCAGTCAGGCTAAACGTTTGATACGGCAAGAAAATATTAACCGTTGTCAGATTGCATAGGTACAATTGTACCTGAACCTGGTACGAATATAACGTTGTAAAATTATGCAGTCATGCAACGGTTAAAACAACATTTGAGGATAGTTGAGATCCTCACCTTTTATTCTGATTACCCATATTTTTCATCAAACATCATTTTCAGCTACTTATTAGTCACAAATTCAGTTAAGAGTCCTTGATTACGAGATAAGAAGACAGCAGCAATTAAATAACTGCAAGCGATACAAGACAGCAGCCATTCACTGAATACAAGCCATACAACACAGCTGCCATTCACTGAATACAAGCCATACAACACAGCAGCCATTCACTAAATACAATACAATAAAATACATAAATGATTATAATACAATAACAATAAAGACAAATATCCAACCTTTGCACATGCTAAGCGAGATGGGGTGGGAGAGGCCGAGATGTTCGCCGGGCGCGAGTCTGGCCGCGAGGGTGGAGAGCAAGGCGAGCGTGTAGCCCTGGCGACGGTGGGCTGGTCGCACGTACACCGTGTCGAGCGTGTCACACGCATACACTTCTTCACCACCCCAGATGCTAGTGCCTGCCGTCATAATAGTGAGATTAGTAAGATGGAGAAGCTACCATATACCATACACCATATACCATTCTTCACCGCCCCAGATGCTAGTGCCTGTCGTGATAATAGTGAGATTAGTGACATGAAGAAGCTACCATATACCATACACCACATACACTTCTTCACCGCCCCAGATGCTAGTGCCTGCCGTCATAATAGTGAGATTAGTAAGATGGAGAAGCTACCATATACCATACACCATATACCATTCTTCACCGCCCCAGATACTAGTGCCTGTCGTGATAATAGTGAGATTAGTTACATGGAGAAGCAAAGGACATATATTATCAGTCTACTTATATCGCAAGTTCACAAGGAATTTAAAAGCAAAGAAAACACCGAGCAAATTCACCATATCGATATTGAAAACGTTTCGGAGTCCAGCTACATGATCAGTTCGAAACTGATGATGGAACTTCTTTGCTTTTAAATTCCTTGTGAACTTGCCTCCGGCATCAACTGATGATGGAGCTGGACTCCGAAACGTTTTCAATATCGATATGGTGAATTTGCTTGGTGTTTTCATTGTTTTTAAATTCCTAGCAAGGGACATAAGCTCGTCCTATTCAACAATAAGACACAGCACACACGTACTAAGCTGGTCCTATTCAACCCACACATCCTTGGCTCACAATTAAAATTAGTTTCAAAGACAAAATATTTTTACAGGCAATGAAGGTTCGGAACAATCTTTTGAGGGTGGACAGCATTTCCGACAATATCAGAAGAAGATAAGCGTAGAACAGCATTAATCTTATTAATCACATTATATTGTCACAATAATAATAATTAAATTATATTTTTAATTACATATGCCTGCGCCATCAGCGCCAAGCTCGTGCTGATTCAGGTAGCATTGCATCAATACATCATACAGAGCTCCGACATCATGGTACTATCATGACAGTTAAGTTCTGCCGCCATGTTTATACCACGACAGTTGTGTTGCTACGTCATGTTTTTACCATGACATGATACTACTGCCGTCATGTTTATACCATGACAGTTCAGTTGCTACGTCATGTTTATACCATGGCAGTTTCCGCCGTCATGTTTATACCATAACATACTACTGATAAGTTATACAGCCTCACCCTGACACCTGAGGGAGGCCATGCCCTATACAGCCTCACCCTGACACCTGAGGGAGGCCATGACCTATACAGCCTCACCCTGACACCTGAGGGAGGCCATGCCCTATACAGCCTCACCCTGACACCTGAGGGAGGCCATGCCCTATACAGCCTCACCCTGACACCTGAGGGAGGCCATGCCCTATACAGCCTCACCCTGACACCTGAGGGAGGCCATGTCCTCTATAGCCTCACCCTGACACCTGAGGGAGGCCATGCCCTATACAGCCTCACCCTGACACCTGAGGGAGGCCATGCCAGCAAGTCTATGGTGTCGCCACAGCAGGTATGTGGGGTGTGTGGGGGAGCAGCACCCGTACGGCACCTCCCCCTCTGACTCCCGCGCTCGGTAGTCCAGCTGCGTGAGAACCAGCACCAGCAGCCGCTCCCCCAGACTCTGGGTCTGGTGGACACATGACACACTTTGTGACACATGACACACTTTAGGTTGACACACCAGCACCAGCAGCCGCTCCCCCAGACTCTGGGTCTGGCGGACACATGACACACTTTGTGACACATGACACACTTTAGGTTGACACACCAGCACCAGCAGACGCTCCCCCAGACTCTGGGTCTGGCGGACACATGACACACTTTGTGACACATGACACATTTAATGACATATGACACACTTTATGTCACATGACACATTTAATGACATATGACACACATTAGGTTGCATGACACACTTTATGACATATGACACACTTTAGGTTGCATGACACACTTTATGTCACATGATACACTTTATGTCACATGGCACACTTTATGTCACATGACACTTTATGTCACATGACACACTTTATGTCACATGACACTTTATGTCACATGACACACTTTATGTCACATGACACTTTATGTCACATGACACACTTTATGTCACATGACTCACTTTATGTCACATGACACACTTTATGCTCAATTGTAAAATAATCATACAGAAGGCTTCCAAGTGTTCAAGTCTCGAACTAATAACAGACCTAACAGACATTACTGAATTATAAGTTCAATGTGTGTTCTTGTCTTCATACTACAAAGGATTATGAATTTCGGAATAAGTATTGAACTCCCGATGGAGATCGTCTCTACAACGTTTTTCTAGGCTTGCAAGGCAATTACATTATGAGATAATTTGCATTTTAGGCAATCTAGCGATCTTGATTATCAATTTCCCGTTGGTATTCTTAACACAATAAATACAATGTATTTCTTGGAAAGACGCTTTTCATTTTATAATAATCAACATGGGGAAAAGTCAGTCCTGCGAAATGTTCTAGGGAACCTGAGCAATTCTATCAAAAACCTCTTGAATGGATATCATTGACGTTTACAATATCGCCTACCATGTAATCTTTTATCACTCGGCTCACATAAAAGTTTACACTTTCTGGAAGTATCTGTCGCTTGCAACTCACGTAAGTTGTACAAACAATTATAAAAATGCATAAATCAATGCTAATAGCACATGGAAAATCTATCATTTACACAACAAGCCTGAAAGAACATCAAGTGTAACTACACGGTGCTGATCACCAGAAATATTCTGCCTCATGTCGAACACATTACACGTTCAATAATATTCTACAAGATAACAGAGATAAGGACATTCTCATGTCACCCCGTACCTGATGCCAGCCTTCCTTGTTGGAGGTGATACTCAGCACGCGCTCCAGAGGATGCCAGTCACCTTTCAGCCACAGATATTGTTCTGTCGGATACAATACTTCTTTATCTTATTATTCTGTCGGATACAATACTTATTGAATCGGTTCTTAATATCAAAGTGAGAACGAACTTATTGCATAACTACACGGTGCTGATCACCAGAAATATTCTGCCTGATGTCGAACACATTACACGTTCAATTATATTCTACAAGATAACAGAGATAAGGATATTCCCATGTCACCCCGTACCTGATGCCAGCCTTCCTTGTTCGAGGTGATACTCAGCACGCGCTCCAGAGGATGCCAGTCACCTTTCAGCCACAGATATTGTTCTGTCGGATACAATACTTGCTGAATCGGTCCTTATCAAAGTGAGAACGAAATTGTTGTATTCTGTCGGATACAATACTTGCTGAATCGGTCCTTATCAAAGTGAGAACGAATTTGTTGTATTCTGTCGGATCCAATAGGTACCTCTTGAATCGGTCCTTATCAAAGTGAGAACGAACTTATTGCATTCTGTCGGATACAATATAGGTACCTATTGAATCGGTGGTTATCAAAGTCAGAACTAAATTATTGTAAAGAGATTACAAATTATTGGTGGTCCACTTACGAATGACCACTTACGAAGTTACTGCATGGAGAAAGAATGGAATCATCCGTATTATCCGGATTCTAGCAGTGACATTCTTCAATGAAAATTACCTCCGACGGTCAGTAAAACTTGCATCAAAATAGAATTCGCTGAAAAGGGAATTCTATTTTGAATTCTAAATGAATTCAAATCTCATACACCGGAAAAAAATTCGTAAATGCCTCAGATTTTAAAACTAGGAGGATTTGCGTTTACCAAACACTACTTAATCGGATATCACATTATAATAAAATTAGTAAGGTGAAGATTTTCAACAAGCGTAATCACCTTCTCGCGCATCTGTGTAGACGAGGATGCCCTTTTCCAGTTCCCTGTGAGCTTCTTCGTTTTCCTGAAGAAGTTCCATGAAGAAACACTCGCCGGGCACAGCGATGGCCAGGTCCTCTGCTCTGATGGCGCTGCTCACACATAACCGACAACTCCTTAATGTACTTCTAAGCATCAAATTAAAATATTGCAGACATGGTGGTAACGAATAATCCGTATTTTAGCAACAACAGTCATATTTTCAAGTTTATTTATTACACGAAATCTACACACAGTCGTGATAAGAAAATAAATAATCAACCTTTCGATTTCTTGGCCTATACAACCATTCCTACAAAAAAACATTCCACGTTATGAGACGAAGTGAGTATTACAGGAAATGTACGATAAGCAAGTGAATAATCAACCTTTAGATTTTTTGCCTATACAACCATTCCTACAAAAAATATTTCATATTATGAGACAAAGTAAGTCAACCCCAAGACTCACTGCAAGCCAGAGTGTGCGTGAGTGGCAAGCCAAGTGTCGATGTTGGTTATACTCTCCTGCACCTCCTTGTCCGTGAGCAGCGGCAGTTTGCAGTCCGCCATCATCAAAGCACCTGCATCATTAGGTCCAATGTCACTTAAACTTCGAAATAATTACATGCTTCAGCACAACGTACATTTAATATTAACTTTATTCATTTCGGTTAAGTTTACAGGTAATGAAAGAAAATTGGCGGGCAGAATGTCCCGTATCAAAAAAATACAATTAAGCTGCAACAAAGAAATAATCTTACAGAATAAAGGTTGCCGTCATTACAAGCGGAGGCAGAAAGAAGCCATAATTACATAAAAGAAAGAGAGGGTAAAGTGAAAAAGAATGGCAGTGAAGTGACCGCAATCAATCTTGTAAATGGTTAATGGATGCAATTAGTCCACTATATACATAAATAAGTTGCTTGTCTGTTGCGAACAGACAGATCACTAATATATAGTAGTATATATTTTGATATTTTTGCGTATTGTTAACAGTTGCTGGTTATTGACGACGAAGAATACGTAAAATGACGCGTGTTAGCGGTACTTCAAGATTTGATTTGCGGGGTAACTAAGTTATTTACATGTACGTTAAATACGTATATACATTTAATATATCGATGTAGATTTGATTATTAATTTAGGACTCTGTTAAAAAAGTTTTATTTAACATTTGAATTTTCTGATATAGATACAATAGTGCAGTTTTTGTAACTCGCGTTCTTGGTTTGAAGCTCCGATATAGTCGGTGACGCTGCTGCCACAAGAACTGTTCCAAGTCACGGTTTTGTGAAATATATATATGTATATATTGTCAAAATACTAACATAACATAGACGCTCAAGACTTCATGCGTACACAAATTCTACAACAGTGGTAGATGAATCGTAACTACGAGAAGAAAAAGTGGCAAGGAAATAAACCTGTTTGGAAACGTTTTGTGGGCCATCGTGAATTATTTGAATTTATTATTTATTATTATATATTATATTTATTACTATATATTTATTATATATATTATCAATTATTTATTGGTTTGAATTTCTGTCTACATAATTCGTAAACGTGATAGCGAATGCATATTAAGTGCAAGCTCACGTCAGAGGGATGACTCAGATAGCACAAACGGGTTGGTGTTACCGCCGTGTGCAGAATGATCTTATGAACGAATGAACCGAACAAACGTAGGTATCCAGCCATGAAGAACTGAATCATACGATGCGGCGCGATATATGATCGTTTGTTTGAGACTGTACGATCCTGTGGACGCCTACAGAAAACCAATGTCTTGAACGCCCCAATTCATGTTGTAAGAAGGAGCAAACATTATGAGCAGCTCCGTTGGCTGGATTTAAATTTGACTCTGCGCCCGTTGTTACGAAGTAAGCACTATTAACGGGAGTCTATGTTATTCTATGGCTGGGTTCCGTATTGTCACAATTACAAGTGATACTGTTTCGATATACATACAGAATCGATATGTCAGTGCTGCCTCTTCGCTACTTTTTCACCACGTTGAGCGCTTGGGGGTTTAAATCCCATTGGTGCAGCGGAGAGCTAAAGAACTCAGACTAGAACTAGCATGCAGTCACCTAATCAAAACTCCGCGTAGCTTAGTTCTTGGGGGAAACAAATGTGGGAGTGGGGGGCTTTTATACTATCAGGGTTAGCAACTGAAGTTCTTCTTTGAAATTTGAAGACCAAATCCAAGAAACGACGATACTTCGGTAAATAAGTATAATCGATGAAATTTTTAGTCGGAATGTATTACAAAGGTTGAATGTCGCGTACAAATATTGATAGGAGTGTTTGGCTAACCGTTGGTATTCATTAAAGATAATGAGCAAAATGGCACCAATGACAAGAATTTGCTCGTGTTGAGCAGTGATCACATAGTTTACATGCGCCAATTTATATACTATGTACATTCTACAAGAAATAATTAACGAAATGACATCGGCAATAAGAAGGTGCCTCTGCTGAGCAGTAGCAAAATATATATGCATTTCGCAAGAGACAATAAGTGAAATAAAATCAATTACATGACACTCTGAATGAACTAGCAGGCTAGTTATGTGAGCAACCCTGCAGGCTAGTTATGTGAGCAACCCTGCAGGCTAGTTATGTGAGCAACCCTGCAGGCTAGTTATGTGAGCAACCCTACAGGCTAGTTATGCCAGTAAATAGATATCTAAATCAACAGACAATGTTCCCAAGTCAGGTCTGGTTTAGTGTGTGAATTAGTCCTCACTTGTAAAATTATTTTGCTTGCTTTTCACATTTCTCAATTTTATCATTACAAGTCATGTTTTATTGGTGAGAAGTAACCAGATGTTCTTTTGTGCACCTTCCTTTAATAGTCATTAGCATTAATTTGTTGAATGAGTCCCACATACACTTGTATGCACAAAAGCAAAACGATTGCAAGACCTTATGTAATGGTGCAGCACATACAGGCAACGAACATTCTTGGTAAGTTGGTAGGGTTATTTGCCTCAAAATTATTCCCTTGAGAATGCATAATAACATGAAGCATCATGTCAACAGAGCTTAGGTGTTCCCAAATATGTATACATAAACACTAGACATAACCTGACCTTGGAGTAGGTAGATAAGATATGCAAGAGTAGATTAGATGAATGGCAAAGTGTTGCACAAGTGTCAACAGTTCTGAGTATTTTTTCATTGATCATGATATCATACTTAAAAAATACTTTTATAAAAGCACTAATACTTTAATCTGCATAAAAAGTTCACCTAAAGGCTCAGGGCTAAAGATTGTGTTTCTTTTCATTCAATCAAACAAAAACAAAATCCCTCAATAAACAAGCTTCTGTCTATTTGCAGCAACAGTTGTCGTGCACATGATCTTGCAAACATAAGCATTGCCACTGTGAATTTCCCATGTAAAACTAGAGGAAGTTACCTTGACGTGAGTGGCAATGCACAATCTTTTCCAAAGACAGACATGCTTTGGTGAAATGGCTAACAGTGCACTCTTCAACTATATGGAAATGCATAAAATACCATTTGCCCTTCAGTGGTTGTGTAGCAACTGTCCTTACTTCTTGATTTCAACCACTAAAGAGATAGGCTCAATTTTTGTCAACCTGGTTGAATAAATTGCATTCATGTTCAGTTCATCACCAGCTCTGTATCTGTAAACAATTAATTGCTTCACACTGTAGTCCAGCCTCTCCCTAGCCTCTGAGAGTCTTAAAAACTTTTATTTCAGCATTCCACACCTATGAAATTTGACCAGAACAAAACCAACATTAAAGGTGACCAATTTGGTAATTTTTGCACATGCCCACTACAGGGTTTAGCATTCAGAAGACAGCCCAGGGAACAATATAAAATAGAAATAATTGAGGTGAACTATTGAAGACAAAATGTAGAGATTGATATATGTGAAAAATCTTGATTAGATCTAGCAGCTGGCAATGACGGGCAATAGTTGAAAATTATAGATTATGTATAAATTACTCAATATTCATGCTACTTGTAGAAGAAAAGTTAATTACAAAAATTTATTTTCTTCAAAAATGTATGAATTACCTGATTGCAACAACATAATATTTATTTTATACACAATATAAAATTTTATTCACTGCTATCAAAGTACTAGAATGATTAAACCCTAAGTTGACATTTTCAAGTTTTGTACATTATTGCAGCGATAATTTATTACTATAGTGAATAAAATAATTAACAATCTAGAATAGTTTAGCAATAAACATGAACAGTTACATCTTTTACAAATAAATTTTCTTGAATATTCATAGCTTATTTCTAGAATCAAGGCTTGTGTAGAATGCAAACAGGAAACTTACTTGATGAAGCAGAAGAAAAATTCACACCTATTATTTGAGTTTGAGTAGACTTTGCAAAGACCTATGAGGCTAATTATATAATCTAATAATAATGCTTAGGTAAGTGGGCACTTATCAAAAAATTGTTCTAGCTAGTGTCAATACTTGAAGAAACTCTGCCTCTGGTCATGGGAAACTGACAACTGTTTGCTTGCCAATTTTGTAACAAATTTACTCTTTGATTTTTTTTAAGTAATGTAGACACTTAAATAGTAGAACCATTTTTACTTTTCAAAAGCGCCTCAGGGTCAGGACTCAGAAGTGATAAATTAATATTTATAACGTTTTACAAACACTTTTCAAATTTAATAATATTCTTATGAAACTGAAAGTATTTCTTTACAAAAACTTTATAGAATTGCCAATTTGTATTTCTTTATCCACAGTACATTTTCACATTATTATTTTATAGTTATTGAGTGCCACTGTACTGTTGAGCAACTTGAGTGTTGACTGAAGGACTGTGCTATCTTAGTTTCCAAATTTAAATAGGTATACTAAATGAGTTTCGTTCAAGAATTAATATGATACAATTTTATCCTTGGGACTTTATCAGGACATGTGCAAGATTTACGGAATTAAGACCAGTTAGACCACAGTGGGCACACCACCGCACCTGACACCCAAGAAAGTTCCTCTGAGTCCTGAGATCTGCCGAAGTCGAGCGCTGCAAGTGTTCTGCTCCAGTGGCCATGGCTGCTTCACGCATCGTCGCCACCATCTCGTGTGGCTACCCAGCCATTATAACCATCCTGTTACGCTTCATGATTTTGCGTCAGCCAATGATGCCAATTCTTCAATAGAGTTAATATATAGGAATATAGCTAGCGAACAGATAACGTGGTGCAAGTTCGTCGGTTACACTGTTGACACGGAACATACACCATTCAGCGCTTCTCACATCGCGTTCAACACTCAAATGACGCGGAACAGCTGATCGGTCAAAACAAACAATTTTTTAGTAGAGGAGGAGGAAGACAGATGACATTTCAGTCGAATTCAAGTCTGAGTGATGCTGTAATTAATTTTAGATTGAATGAATTAACTGAAAAATACCTTAACTTCTATAACTTCAGCATCTAACTGTACTTTTTTCAGCTAAACCAGCTTCAAATAAAGTTGCGATTCGGTCAAATTCGCATGGTTGAAAGAGTATAGTTCAACCATGCAACTTCACTAATTCATATATTTTTTGTCAATGTGAACAAAAGTTCGTGAATTTAGATTGCTTCACGACAGAAATTCAAACTTAATATTATATTCTCTAAAGTTAGATGGAAATGCCTACAGAATTAATATGTAAATTTTCATATCAGAGACTAATAGTCATTATAGTTGATTTAGACGTTGTTCGTTTTAACTAAAATAATCCGTTAGATAGTATTTCTAGGTTTAGCCAGTTTTCAGTTTATACTAGCCCCAGGTATTATCTTTATTATCGCTAAAGTTATATAGATTTGCTTATATAATATATAAGCAAATCTAATTCATCAATCGCTATTAAAATATTTATGTTAGCAGAGCAAACAGTGAATTGTGTTCTGCTTCAAGAATTTGCGTAAAATAATTTATTGTTGCTAAAACATGTTTTAGGGGTTTTCCCTAAACAGTAAAGTAGTGGTCGTGTTCCAATCATATCGTAGTAGCGAGTACGATTGAAAGCGCAAAACCTGTAAAGTTTAGTTGGTGCGCTGTAGTAGTTGGTCGAAACTCGAAAGTGGCATTTGAAAGTTCGTGTAATTGTAAAGACATCGCAGTCGACGATTTAAACGTTAGTTCAATTTATTTTTGTAAAATCGTAAATTGAGTCAAAAGTTTTCTGCTGCCATTTGTTGAAGTTTGGTAATTTGGTTGCTGCTGAAATTGTTTGAAAAAGGTAAGATTTAATTAGCTAACTTCAAAGTTATTTGCTATTCCCAAATTTAAAATACAATTTTTGCTCAATAATCTTTGTTATATAATGCAAAAGTAGAATAATTTTGCATTTATTATAATTTTATGCATTTAAAAATATGATTTTACTCTGATTTTTACTTCTTATCTAAAGACTTATCTTATTAAATGACGCTCTCTAATGGTGTGAGTTGTTAGTTGAAATATCAATATTAATTTGCTCTAGTTATCTAAATGTTAAGTAGGTACCGGCCATACCGCGTACCTAGGACCTACCTACATTTTAGATTAGCAGGCTTTGTCATTTAAAATGCAGGCTGCAGGTGCTGGGCCAGGCCCGCCAGGGTAGAACAGATTTAGGACTGGAGAGATAAGTACACATAGGCTATCTTATTGAATTACGATATCTCTAACAAGACCTTCCTTTAATAACTTTTTAGGTAGGTAAATATTTTTGGACTAATATTGAACAAGAGAAACAGACTACAAACCCAGGCCTCACTCCCCCCAGAGACTGGTGTGGTGGTGTGGAATAAATCTAACTTTCAAATCTTTACTGTAGCTTTCCTAATTCCTACTATTTTTGAAGCTGCAAGATTCCTGCAAGTCTGCAACTGCATAGTAGCAAAGCAGAGAGTTTTTTAAACTCTCCCTCAGCCTCAACTTCTCAAGTTCATTTTTGAGTCATTTGAGTTGACCAGTAAAATATCATGGATACCGGTACCATCATTAATATATAGGTATTATTGGCATAATGGCATCATACCAGTTACCAGCTCATCATGCATTTTAAATTGTTTTAAATCTTGAACCTATTTAAATGAGGAAATTAAAATTGAACTGATTCTAAAAATTTCTGGTTTGTCCCTATGCGGGTTGGGAAAGTCCTACTTTTTTTCTGAAATATCGCAGCTCTAATATCATATAATTTCAGTAGGTATGAAATCTTGCAGCTCTGATGTTGTGGATTTTTGTTTAATTGAAAAAATTGCAGTTTGCCCTTTACAAACATGCCCTTTCATAAAATTTTCAACTTCCACAATCCTCATTGCTCCAAAAAGTCTTTTTAGGTCTCCCAGACCCCACTTTCCTCTTTGGCACCTCCCCAGGTGTCAACTTTTTTTGCGCTGCAAGGACCCTCAAGATGGACCTACGGCTCCTCCCCGTACGTTCACAAATGTTTAAAATACTCACTTTTTCTTCACGTAATGTCATAATGCACACTTTTTTCGCAAGTGAGAGGTGTTTAGGGGCCATTGTAATCAATTGCAATTTCACAAGGACGTTTATTATAAAAAACGGGTTTTCACTGAAAAATTGTGCCTTGCGCGTCAAAACATACACCTGCTACAAACATAAAATGGCGACTAACGTATCGCCGAGTGACTGGCAACACTCATCAGGGTCTCTGAAGTTGCCAGAAACCTCCTTTAGTAGATTGCAATGTTTACAGCATCTGAAACGCAAATGAAATTGACCGCGCTAAAACAGTGAAAATGGATGGAAGGGTGCCAGTTTTTATTGCGCTATCTGTAGTAAATAAGTTTGCATCTCGGAAATGGCTCATCATGGGGGCATGGCCAAGATATGGAATTCACGGTTTGAAGAAAGGGAATCATGGCTCAAAGAAATTGAATCACGGCTGGCAAATCCATAAAACCACGACTCGAAAAATCCAGTCATGGCTTGCCAAGTGGATATATTCCATGCACCATGCCTGTCACTATGCCTGCAGGACAAATTAAATCTTGTATAATTGATTATGAAATTGAACAAACAAGCTGCAGGATTCTAAATGTATTGAAAATTTGTTACTTTGGAGCTGTAAGATTTCATTCAGAAGTTGGGAAAATTTCAATCTATCCTGCGATTGATACTAAATATATTATTTTCATTTCTAGACTCCGATCAGTTCGATGATATTTTCAGATCCATCAAATGACTGGCTAGAGTGAGTGCTAGATAATTTTAAATTATAAGTAATCCACCATGCAGTCTTATGTATTATGCAATAATTCTGAAAAATCGCAGGTATGAATGATTATTTCATGGGTGATTTTTCAATATCTCTAATTTTGTAAAACAGGCTTTAATTCTAAAGGGATATTAAATTAACCAGAACACTAAGAATATTGGATAAAAAAAATCACAGTCTGGAGAGGCAGACATCACAATCCTGATAACCAATCACTGTCTGGAGTGCATAACCTTACAACCAATCACTGTCTGGAGATGAACATGCATCTGCCCAGAAATCACAAGCTTCATTCACTATCCTATATACCGTAAAATGGATAACTTTGACTACTTTTTTCAAGATGATGCCATTTTTTTACTAGATAAGTTAAACTTGAGTTGAAACGTGCAAAATACAGGTCTATACTCTAGCTTCACTCACCATAAATTGCTGGCTCCTGCGTCTCATAGTTTTGATGTAATTTCAAAAGTGATGGTCTTTGTTACCCCAGCTCCTGGGGTTTCTTTGACCGGGTGGTAAAATCAATTTTATTTTTTGGTAAAATAACTCCAAATAACTCCAGGTTGTGGTGCATTGTAGTAGAACTCTTCTAGTTACATATGCAAAAGACAAATTTTAGGAAAGTGTCGTAGTTTGCAAATGGGGGGTGCCGCCCCTAATGGGTGAAATGTGACCACCTAATGGTAGCCGTGACAGGGTAATATTGACTGGTTTGGAAATTAAGTTAAAATTACCATATATAAGACTCTGTAGAGTCTGAAACATAAAGAAAAACACATTAATAGGTGTATCAAACATAAAATATGTAGTAGCCTCAGTATTGGGCCTTTGATGGCCATTGACAAAATTTTCCTATGTCAATCGTTTTTGAGTTTTGTTTTTTTTTTTTTTTTAAAAACGAAAAGTGGTCAAAGTTACCCCACCGGTCAAAGTAACCCCATTTTACGGTATAATATTTATAAAAAATAAGAAAATGTCAAATATTATCCATGAGACCCACAACCACTTGTGAAATGATAGTTTTCTCCTTTAATTGTTGAAAATTTTGTTTGATAGTGGATTGGCAAGAATGCACATGCATTTTTGTCCAATTCATGGTTAAATTTTGCCTGTGTTTGGTTACCCACCATTTTTTTAATACTACATCTTCTTGCCTAAGAGGCTATGAAACCTTATTTCAGATTTTTGAACTTCTTTTATTACCTGAGGAAGATCATGATTTTATGCTCAAAAGTTTGTCAATGTTTTTGCTTTGTTACCAAAGCTATCTGAGTCATTAAGATTTATCAAACCCAAAGTTGGGAAGATAGAGGTCTTTGAAAAATTTTTCTGCCCAGAATGAGCATTCTGGAGCCATTGGACTGCACAGTTCATGCAGGACCCAGACTGTAAAGTATGGCTCAACACTGGTTGAGGATGTCAGATTCTCAATTCTAAAAATGTCAACTTGTTTCCATGGCACAATTAAAACAGATAAAGGTTTCTAATCACATTTTCCATGAATTGTAATTCACTATCAAAATAGCCATTGATAAATGACTGATATGGACATATGCACATTGGGATTGCTGTGGGGAGATTCATAGCATCACAGCAGCCTAGACCAAATTTATACAAATTTGGTGTTTCAGTTTTGGATGCTTGCAAAACAAATGATATGATTTCCAGATTCCAAAAATTGTTCACAGAAACAAATTTTCATGTTCCAGTTTCAAAAGCTTTCAGAATCAAAATGAAGCTTGAATATTCCAGTATCAAAATCACAGAGAGAGTGAAGTTTCTTAGCTCAATTCATGTTGTGTTATACTGACCTGGAAACCATGACTGCATCATGTATTTTCTTATGATCAGAGTTACTCTTCATATAATGTGCTAGCTGAGCTTAGATTACCAGCAGAGTTACTCTTCATATAATGTGCTAGCTGAGCTTAGATTACCAGCAGAGTTACTCTCCATATAATGTGCTAGCTGACCTAAGATTCGCACTTCAGGTCAACTCTCATTTGATATTTACTGGATTATTAAATATTAAATTGTAGCTTATTCATTGATTTTGGTTTCTTGCCTCCCTTCATTTGGCGTATCAACCATTTTTAAATAGTGGCAATACTAGCTGATGGTTGTGGCAGGACTAGCATTTGGCGTGGCAACCATCTATAAATAGTGGCAGGACTAGCTGATGGTTGTGGCAGGACTAGCATTTGGCGTGGCAACCATCTTTAAATAGTGGCAGGACTAGCTAATGGTTGTGGTAGGACTAGTGGCAGGACTAGCATTTGGCGTGGCAACCATCTATAAATAGTGGGAGGACTAACTGAACAGTAAATTATTTTGCACAGCTTAATTATCTGTGTCGGGATTATTTTGGAATCCATGCATATAAGCTCTTCTGCGTAGACGCTGAAGTGACAAGATATTTTTAATTCTCCTCCGTAATTCCTGTCATGGACTGTTTTTAAGTGGCAATACTAGCTGATGGTTGTGGCAGGACTAGCATTTGGTGTGGCAGGACTAACTGAACAGTAAATTGTTTTGCACAGCTTATTTATCTGTGTCGGTATGATCTTGGAATCCAAGCAAATAAGCTGTTTTGCATAGACGCTGAAGTGACAAGATTTTTTTAATTCACCTCCGTAATTCCTGTCATGGACTGTTTATGGACAACGCTCAATTTAAATTTGACAGAAATATATTAGGTATATATATATACTACATATTCTTGACTTGCATAAATGACTGTGATATTGTGCTTCAGTTTGATGCTAATCGCTTAATCAATAAATGCTTGACAGGAATAGGAGAAATATGGTGGCAAGATCATGGTGGCTGATCCTCAAAAATCAATTCTTTTAGTTTTATTATTTGTTCTTCTGATGTTACTCTTCAGTTTTTAAGTTGTACCAGCAGTGCTCCACTGCTGGTACAGCCATGCCTGTTAGGGACATGAAGGCTCTCTGTGTTGGGGGAGTGTCCTGAGATGTTGAGCTGACATCGCTGAGTCAGCG